TCTTTCAGCCGTGCCTGCTGATCGGGCTTCAGGTCGTGGAGCACTACCGCCTTGAGGCCTGGGAATGACTAGAGGCTTAGGTGCTGGCCCAGTCTTCGTGGACGTCATGTTGGGGATCCTGCGTTTCGAGGGGGGATCAGGTCGATAAGTCCGAACGATTGGGCTTGGTGCAACGGCACAGTCATGCGGTGAATCAAACTGATGCATAGGGAGACGAAGCATCAATTACTGATTACTGGCTGGCTTTGCAATCCGGCAGTTCCCGGGTGTCGACATGAAAACCCAGGGTTTACCGGTTAAAGCAATAGACAATGCTATACTTCTAAGTTAGAAGGATAAACCGAGGCACTGGCTCGGGAGCGAGGCATTCTCACCTGCTCAAGAGGGCCAACACAATAGGGGCCAGGGGCTATATAGACGCGCGAGGAATATGAATATGATACGTCGACACAAGTTGACACCACTATATACAGGGGATGTCGATATGTACAAAGTCGACAAGAGTTGGCGAGCGTGGCGTTCTGTATGGGAGAATCAGAACGAGCGAACAAAACTTGGGACTGCGAGGCGGAAATGGAGAGAGTTTAATAGGATCTCAGGTGAGCTGTCGCATCCTTACTTGGAGGGGGTCCTTGAACTAAAACGAACACAGGAGTAGTCCCAGGAAGCCCCTCCCGGAACCTGGAAAGGCGCAGATATACAGGGTGGTTGAGGCTAAAACGGTAGTACGAATCCGAAGAGATGACGAAAATGAGTTTTTCCAAAGGGATTCGTCCGAGCAAGGTCCTGTGGAGAACTTTTCAGACTAGGCAACTCTACCCATCAAACATGCTGTGGCACTCGCGATGTATAGTTTGGGATCCAGCAGGTAATATGACACAACGCTTGTATGGCAGACTCGGGCGTGCCAATGCAGCTGCATGTTGCCGTCAGGGATTCGGTCCCTTTTCCTCATTCTGTTTATTGTGGCAAGGACAATGCTGGCCAACCATAGACCAATCGTCAATCGAACGGCTCTTCACTAATTGGCTTTTCTCCTTCCTGCTCCCTTTAGAGAATGCAAGGGGGGGAGAAAAGAAAACGTCAGGCCGGCCTGTACTCCGTAATCCGTACTCCCCGCCGGATGTGAGGTATCAGATCCAACAGAACAAACCTTTCAAGCCAAGCACTTAGCATGATCTTCCCGAGTAAAGCAAGAATTTAGATCGGACCTGCGCAGATCCGAGGGTATAGACAGTCGATCATGGCCGATCTTTGGGGGGTGGGAAGTACATGTAAATCGGGGAAATGAGAGAGGGTGAGATAGCTCACACTCAATTCTTAGACTATTGAAAATACATAGGGGGTCAATAACATAACATATTGATCAATGTGAATGACTTCAATGATTGAATAATAATATATACATAACATACAATATACAACATGTCGATATGTCAATAATATGTAGCAATGTGGGAACACTACTCCGTACTATATAACTATTAATCTATACCGGCATTATAAGTGTGAATGAGAAACTTAGATGTGAGACCCATTCAACGAAAAGAAATAAGATTCTGGAAGAATGAATCATAAAGTGAACCCCTTGCCTTGACGTCTCACACATTACCTACATATTGATAGTACGGAGTACTTTGTATACCATAACCATTTCCTGCACTTAATCTCCGAAAACGCTCTTCACATCTGTAGTTTTCAATTTCGTCGTCCTCAATTCCTACAACAAAAACAAAAACAAAAAATAAAAATAAAAATGCAGAAGTGCCAGACCCACGCTACAAGACATGTCAAGTCTTCCCCTCTTTGTCTCAAATAATGTGTTAAAGGATATCCACTTCCAAGACCGTAAAGAAACCAGTATAAGCGAATAAGAGACAGAGTCTAACACACACATCACAGCAAACAGGATAGTTCTAGTCTTTGAGAATCGATCGGGAATTGACTTGGAAATGGTATACATATTCTATACTCCGTGCGGAGTACATGTACAATATGTACAATATACAGCATTTCAGAGCCTGTCTAATAATAGGACTCCACACTTTTGTTGTTTGCCTTCTGATCGTTTACGAAGAAATAAAAATACGGTTTTCTCTTTCTAAAAATCGAATTTTCTATAGATAATATTATTAGATTATTTTGCTTGTGATTTTCTCGCTCTCCAAGGCTATGGGGATGAATGACTAAAGTCAATGTTCCGTGAGAAGATATATGAGGTTCCAGTTAAGGCTTTGGCTTGGAGCCTTGGTATTGTATATATCTTGCTTTTACCTGCTGCAAGGGCCCCTGGCCGAAGGGCTTACCGATGGGTCTATTCAGCGCCGGTTTCGGTTTTCGCAGGGCGAGGCCATCTGCCTAAAACAGACACCATGGTATGATATCCGAGAAATCTTGAACTGGATGCGTGTTCCACTGGTGGCTTATAGGTAAAGCCCGCAAAAAGCTCTAGGCCCAGCCTAAGTCACGGTACCATTATATCGGATGGATTTGGTTTTGCTCATAAACCTTGGCTGAAAAATTCATGGGCCGGGTCCGTACGCAATCGCTTCTTTTAACACCTTAGTCACACCGGATGATGCACGGCCCAATTCGCCGCCTTCCTCTCTGGCGCTCTTGATTCCACGCTCGATTGCTGACTGGAAACGAGTCGAGAAAACGCGATACCTATCCTCACGGGTTTCGTACATTTCTCCTTCCTCATCACGCGGCTTCCCAAACAGATTCAGATAAGCGAATGGGGTAGATGAGTCTGAGATCATGTGTTGGGCGGTCTGACAAAGTGGAAACGGCCAGTCGGGACTCTCATCATCACCCGACATCTCACTATCGACACCGCCGATAGAAGGGTTTCCGACCCCCGCATCCAAAAACTTTGCCAGAGTCCCAAGCGTTTTGACCATGGGCTTGCCCTGGCTGCCAGACTTCCCAAATGAAGCCCGGCTTGAAGACCACTGCGATGACTCTTCGGTGTGCCAGCCCAACACAGACAAGAAGCAGTTGAGTGTTTTGATCCATCCTCCCGCGCAGGAAACTGTTGATTCTCCCGCTGCCTCGACCATCCATGATAGTATCTCCACAGCAGAACTACGGATGTCCGCTGCAAGATGGGTCATTCCTGCACGAACGTAGGGAAGGAGTTGCGCCACATGGTCTTCGACATCGCCCGGCGGGAGAGTCCGCAAGAGCTTGAGGAGCTGAGTCCGTACACTGGTGCTTCCATCGAGGATGAGCGGCAGCAGAGATGGTAGAATAACGCTGACTGGTTGTGGGAGAGGCGAGTTTACTGGCCGAGATGATATCGTCGTAGTCAGATAAGCGAGCGACTCCCGTCGTTGGCTGTCGGACTTGGCGTTGAGGAGAGATAAGTTATGCGTGAACACGGCATTTGCAGTTGGGGCAGCAAGGTGGAGAGATTGTTGCGTGAGGACAATCGCTAGTAATTGTGAGCATAACCACATATCAAGCAGCCAAAAAGATACACATACCCTTCGATTTGAAACTGGTATCAGTGTAGTTGTCGGGCTTCGCTTTAGTTTTTCCAACCTTCAGTTTAGGTTTCTGCAGAAATTAGTAGGTTGAACAAGAGAAACGGAGATTCACAATCCTAACCTGAAAGTCCTTTTGCTTATCCTTCTTTCTTTTAGAGCTGGCACCCATGGCTGCGCAATGTCAATTGATTGAAGATGGATGGCTGTAGGTGATCTTTTTTTGCTCTGATTATCACACGTGACTTATCATATCAGTTATTGCCTGAGGCATGAATTTTCCCGAACGGGAAAACCTGCCGACCTGGCCAATGTTCCGGGAAATCGGGCATCTAGCCCTCAACTCGATATATAATCGGGCTTTCTACCCATAGCCCGTGGACGAATTCGGGTACTAACTTACAGGGCTCATGACTTGGAAATCCTAAATCCGATCAAGTCCGTTAACACCCAATCCCCATTCGGATATTGGGTTACTTGGCAAGAACCGGGTATCCCTTCACGTGCTACACGCCTTAGGTCACTGAAAATTCCTAACTTATTTTATTCTTGCTAGCAAGCATAGTGGTTGTGATTGTTTCTCTGCTCATCTTGCTCTACCTGCGGGTACAATGATCGCCCCAGCTTATCCACTTGGTGTTGACACTTTACTAACAAGCGATTCATTCAAAAACGAAGTTCTCATCGGCCGATCCAGTCAACCAGATTTGTAGATCTCTGAAAGCGTCAAGGTCATTTTTCTCGAGCGAAATATCAATAGCAGGGTCGTGCCAGTGGCGGGTTCTTTTCGTTTCGGTGTTACGCAACGACTCCCCGATATATCGACAGCTATCGAAATCGACGAGAATAAACGTACCATCATCATCAAGCATAATGTTTGCAGGGTTGATGTCGTTATGGACAAGTCCGAAAGAATGTAGATGTTTGATAGCAGCCAAAATTCCTTCTAGACCACTTTCCATATTCGCTTGCACCAATTCGCGTGTACTTGAAAGGAAAGCGACCTTGTTCAGGCGTTGGGGATTGACTGCTTCAAGTAGTGTCGACGTATATCGTCTGAAACATAGCCCAGAGACTCGACCGTGAGTATCCATATAGCCATAGTAAGTCGCGAGGTTCGGATGGGAGTTCTTGCGAAGAAACTCGCATGTTTCGATTTCGCGAGTGATTTGCTTTTCAAGATTCCCATTGGTATACGCGAGGAGACTTGGTGTTTTCATATAGATCGCTGACCAAGTGGTTCTAATTTCTGGGCCCCTGTCCTCGGTTGGAATTTGCTTGATTTCCTGGAGATCGTCCAACGCCTTTGGCGAATTTAATCGATTCGTCCATTTTCCGGAATATAATATGCCATCTTGCCGAACAAAAACCTGGACATAAGAAAATTTCATTTTGCCATCAATCCTTCTGAATGCTTCATTCTTCTGGATAACTTCCATATTTATCAGCTCTGTTGACTTGTGCTGGAATGTTCTTGACGGTGTGTCGTCTCAAGAAGGTCAGGTGCTCGTTATGACGACCAATCATATCGAGCATCTGGATGAAGCACTCATTCGGCCTGGCCGCGCAGACAAGAAAGTGCATTTCCAGCTTGCCGACGAAAAGATTTCCCACACAGTCTTCAAGCAGACGCCAGACCACAAGGAATCGAAGCATGAATTCGGCGATGAGACAATTGAGAGGCTTGCCGACGAGTTTGCTTCCATGGTGCCAGACCAATTTTTCAGTCTAGCTGAAGTTTTGTCGTTCTTATTGGAGCAGAAGAACTCGCTTTTTGGTGCTGTTACTGGTGTTGAAAACTGGGTAGAGAGGACAAAGGCTGGGAGCCAATTGAAGAGAGAGGATATTGCCATTTCCAAGTATATCTAACTACTAATCCAAATCCGCCATAAGAGTCATTAAGCATATTTGCCAGGAAAGTTGGCACGGCTGAAAGCAGTTTACTCTTAGTACGATAAATAGCGGGCAATCACCTAAGCTTGATGAATAATTTTTTGAAATAAAAGGATAGGAGAAGGAATGAAGGAATCAAACCCCCAAACGAACAAAGGAATGTATAATAAACATATCGCATGCAGTTCCATCCTATACAACAATTCTTTTGTAACCAGCTAGCTAGAGGCATTTAGCTTGCACCTTGATAATTTCATCAGCAAGACCAAAACATCAAATGCCATAACCAGCAACTAACCACGAGATCCTCCTCCAAGGGCCTTAGCCACCGTCTCCTGCGCGGACTGCAGTATAGACTTGTTCCTCTCCAGCCCATAATCTCGCTCTTCTCTCGGACCACCCTGTCCAAATTGCCAGATATTATCGGGTGTATCTGAGGAGCGACGAGACGTCGCCTTCGTATCTCCTACAGAACTCAATCAGTAATCTAGCTGGCATCAAGAAACAACACGTAGAGCGACTCCAGATCCGACGTCATTCGCCATGCCCGTAAAACAACAAAGCCAGCGCGCTATCGCCGCTCGAAATACGCACCGGGTTGGAGCTGTTCAGCTATCTTCTCGCGTGCATGACTGGCAGACTCATGGACGCGGCCGGTGACCCTATCTGTGGTATTGGTCTTGGTTGTGAATGGTTCCGAGGCTTCTATTATGTGTGAATAGGGTTCTGCATATCTGAAGGAAATCCACGAGACAGCCACTCACCGTCCGTGTTAGACATGTTGCCCTGTTGGAAAGAATCAGCTTCACCGTGTTAATGTGTTGATGTTAATTAAAAGAAGTTCCATCCTACCTTTCCAGCTATCTTGGTGTTAGTTTGATTGCTGGATAAAATACACTGCGGCCTTGTATGGTATAAAAGTAACTTATCTTGAGGAAGCTCGAAGAAGTAGTACAGCCCAACTATTCGTCGAGATGACGTAAATTGTTTCCCCGGATTAATGTCCGGGCTGAAGTTAGCTGTCATGTCATCCTTCGCTCAGCCTGCAGTTAGTGATGGAAAGAAAATAGTTTAGGGCTCAATTACATCTAGAGGTGGTAGGCTCAATCAACGTGGGGAGCGGACGAATTGGAGAAAATCATGGTCATATTGAAGTCCAGGTCTAGAAGTAATCACGCAAGGATAACAGAATCCATTAATCAAAGCCTGCTCAGCAGCGCAAGAAATCCAAGAATAGATGAGTAGAATAATAACAGAAAAAAAGAAAAAAAAAAAAACAAACGCAGAGAGAGATGCGCACTTCTGCCCGGTTCCGAGCTGCGAGACAACAAAGGAAACAAGAAAACAAAAATAAGAATGAGAACATAATAAGCAGCTCGGGTCCCGGACAGACGCGGTTGTATCAATCAAATCAACAAAAAAACAAAAAAACAAAAAAAAGAGACACGTGACATGTAATGATCTGGGAAAACATGGGAGTAATAAAGGAGCCACGACCGCCGGGGACATAAGTCGTGTAATACGTGAAATTATAGAGGTGGTTAACCGGTCACACCTCGGCAAAACTCAGCAAAAGAAAAGGACCATGTGGTAGAAGCCAACTATAGACTCATTGTCAACCACTCCCATTCCTGACTCGCACCCTGCCCACCCGCGATACTGTGATTCGCTGGGTTTGCGGCAGCGGGTGGTGCCATCGCCGGAGCTAATGGTACGACTTTGGATCGGCTCGGAGGAGCGGCCGACTTAGGGCTGTCCTCTAGATCTGGATCGGATCCAGTTGGTGCTTTTTCGAGTCTGCGCTGCCGCCTGGGTGCCACTTGCACACCAGCACGAGCTTGAGCAACGCCAGCCGGGGGACCGGACTTGGGTGGGGCAGCGGCAATTGGGACAACACCGGGTTTACCCAACGAGCTGGATCCATTCATCGAGGGTGGCGACTCAGAAGTGTTCATGCGGGATGAAATCGATGTGGATGGGGCATGCTGGATGGAATTTTTGCGGGAAGACTTCTTAGATGACCGAGAAGTGCCGACAGCAAGTGTGCTGGCGCTGCTACGGTTCCGCTTCTTGATAACATCAGTCTTGAGCGAAAGTGGCCGGACAACGCCATGGAGTTTCAGGAACAGGCCACATGCATTGCACAGAGGTTGGCCCTCTGGATTACGTCTCCATAGAGGGGTGGTCTGGGTGAAACAGTTGGTGCAGGTGGTCGGTCCCGCGTTCGGGTCACCGTTTTTCGACCCACCAGGGCTACCTGGCCGGGACGGCACCGCACTGCTAAGACCAGACTCTGGAGGGGTGCTTGGCGAAGGGTGGTTTGTTGGAGGCCCACTGGCTGAACCATTCAAGCTCTGACGGAGTAGTGCAGCAGCATTGGGCGTCGATGCTGTGCGGGGAACCTTTCCGTAGCGACGAGGATCCTGGTTTTGGTTACGGACTTCGCTGACCGAAGCAGCGGATCCGTGCGCACGACCAAGGGTGCCTCCCTGGTTCCATTCAGGTGGGCTATCTATCATGTCCGTGGATCCTATTGTAACGTGCTTACGGTGCTGAGCATTGAAGCCTGGTAGCGACTGTATTGATCCGGGGAAACCCCCGTCCCAATGAAGACCGGCGCTCATATCACCAGACTCATCCAGAGAGGCAAAGTTATTTGGCATAGTCATGCCTCCACCTTCACCAAAGTTGCCATCGTCATCTTCGTTGTCTGAGTCTCCACCGAAGGTAAACATGCTACTGGAAGGCGCTGTTGTAGAGAATTCGCCATGGCCAAGCACCTGTGATGGGTTGATATGCTGCGGTGGTGGCACCGAAAATCCAGACACGTGAGTGGTTGGTGGCCCTGTAACTGCGCTCCCTGAGTGAGATTCGCCGTTGGACATGTTGTACATATAACGTGGCTGCAGCGATGCAGACAGGTTCGACTGGCGCTGCTGGATATAATTAGGAATGCGGCGCTGGGTGTGTGATTCAGCGGAGGGTGCATCAGAAAAGAATATCGATTGCTCCCCTTCATAAATCGGTTGCGGGGTTGACACAGTAGACTGATAGCCAGAAGGCGGGGGTGAGAAGAACTCGGTTGAGTTAAGCGACGAGGCGAGCGGCGTCTGGGCATATAGACTCGAGAAAGGATTTCCTGCAGTCATTGGAGAATCTGACGGCGAAAAATGGAAATTTTGTTGGTATGACCCGGCCGAATTGAGCCCGTGATCTTCGCTAATGCCATACGTATCCAACCCGTAGGGAATGTTAGAGTGCGTGTGATGGTGTTGAGGTCTGCGCGGACCCACCGTGCCATTGCCAGAAAGAGCATAGGCAGAAGGTGGATGATCGAGCGAGTAGTCTGGCAGTGCAGAAGACAGTTCCGAGTGCTGTGCCATCATGGCGTTTGATACCGGGGGAACCTGGGGCGAGGCCTCGGCAGGGCGCTTGCGCGTCGGAACAGACAGACCGGCAAAGAACTGCCGGTCGTCGACGCTCGTTTTGCGGACCCGACGGGCGACGTATCCAAACTCGGAGTTTGTTCGCTGATCCTGGGGTGGATGGGGGAATGAGGCAGCGGTTGACGAATCCATCATCGCATGGTCCTTGCGCGATTTAATAGGAATTGATCCAGTGGGTGTTGCTGTGAAGTGTCGATCAATAGGATGCGAGGAATGTTCGGCGGGAGAATCAAAGGGAACGATGAAGTCATCTAGATTCATTGGATCCGAAGTGGTATCGTGTGCTAGATCGCCACCAGCGGGCGATGGTTGGTCGGACAAGCGCATCTGCGCCATGCCGCTCGGTGTCGGGCTTAAAGTTTCCGAGGCACTATTCGGACATCAGTAAATCAGCCATGTGCTTTAGCATTCATAAGAGTGTTTCTTACCGAGCCTGCTGTTCCCGTTCCTTCCGCTTAAGATTCATGGCCATCATTCGCCATGTCAGATTCTCCATGCGCTCTTGGTTGGGCAACTGAGACTTTGTCCTGGTATAGAGTTTCCAGATCTGAGCGCCCAGCGGATCTTTCCTTTGCATCTCGTCAGGGCTGTCGCCACGCGACGCACCGTTCGTCCATTCCGGAAAGATGGAGTTGCCGAGGACGGTATCATTGGCATTGGAGGAACCGGAGGGACTGAAGGGAGTATCGAAAGAGAAGTCGTCGGACATCATATGGGAATCGGCGTCGAAGTCGGGGAAGGCCATAGGGTGGGAAGGCCGGGCTCTCCCGTGCCCTCCGTGATGTATCCCGTCCATAATCTCCGATGGGTAGGGTTTCAATGAGAGGGGAGAGGTTATTCAAATAGAGGCGACCGCGGGGGGAGGGGATGAACGGCAAAAAAAAAGTGGGTTGGATTGAAATTCCTCCGTACCCGCCGTAAACGAGACCCTTGCCGGAAGTTGATGATCGAATGCAGCCAAGCGAGAGACGATTGGCAGGATTCAGCCAACGACCAGGGTCTGTCAACGTAAAATGCCTATTAGCACGGGACGGATCTTATGATAATAATATATGATAATAGGTAATTAAACTGACGACTGGGATGAGAGGAACGCACGATGGATCTGGAAACCACCACCCAGCCTCAACGCCACTTGGGATTTTCCTAATGAGTCGTGGAGGGGGGGCTAGACCCTCCAGACGCTCATGCCCCGAGAAGATCTATCTTTTGATGGGAAGAGAAAATCCTCCCAAGAACGACCGAAGGGAAGACGGAGAATGGAGAGAGGTGAAAGATGAAAGATGGAGAGGGAGGAGAGAAGGGAAACGTGTGGGAAGATGGGGAAACGGAGGGCAGTTGGTTTTACTGCCGACCACGCAATGACAATAACCAGGTATGAGTTAGAATCAGACGTACTTCAGGATTGAAGATATTGAAATAAAACTGAACAGAAATAAAGTCAAGAAAAGAGGAAAAGAAGAAGAATATGATGTCAAAAGAGGGCCTAGAGTGACGCTGAACAAGAAGTAACTTGTAATCTATGTAATC